TTGTTCTTAATTTATTATACGAAAGCAATTATTTTAAAAGTGATTTGTTTATGCCGCAGGACTTGAGAAACGCGCCCATGAATTAAAACACTGATTCACATTTACTTCTTTGTAAAACGTCTAGGTTTTGGCAATAGTTTTTCAGATTGCTCTCTTGAGGGAAATTGCCATTGACTAACCCTTGATAAATTAATGACTGGCTGTACTGAAGGCCAAGAAGCAACATTTGAAGGTATTTTTGAATTCTTGTTAGTCATCAAGCCAGGATCACAATCTTAAAGCATAGTCTTCCTATGAGTCACCTGCAACAGTAATCAAATTATACGAAACACATGCAGACACTTGCCTTAATTTATTGAAAGCAATATAAATATATTTGTATTGATTTTTGTTCAAGAGAATCATTATTCCTAATCACTAAATTCCTGATAACTGAAGCATTCAGCATTTTTTTACTCATTCGATTTACTGAACGCCATTCAAACCAAAGTACATGCCTTCTGTAAAAGTCCTGCTATAAAAGATTGGCGAAATAAACTTTTGCGCCTAGTTAGCACAGAATCAGTTAAAAAGGTTTATCATCGCCTTCTCATTTGGGGCTCAGCAAGTTTTGTAATAAATTATCAAATTTCATTGCTATCAAATGACCGCCATTGAGTTGCTAAAACTTAAGGAGAATTTTCACGTCTTTGACAACTAGCACTCTTGCACAAAATCTTGTTAAAGTACTTGAATTTTAAAGTCAAAACTGAGTAACACCATGCTCTCTGATTTCCTACTATTTTTACTGCAATTACCCATTTCTATTACAAATATGGCGGCAAACTATCACCAGTTGAACGTCGTGTCCAATGCTTCGAAGTGAAGCTGTCCTACAAGCACTTTTCGCTGCTCCCGAACTATCGTATCTTCGCGGCACGATAAAACGGACGTGTTTATTTTTGATTTTATCGTCTTCTGGGGTTTCGCGTTTATCCCATGAATCATATCTCACAGTCGCTAAATTTGATCACAATATCAACTGAAAATTAGGTTACTTAGATTTGATATCCTATTGGCTAGACTTATTTATTGCTCGCAGGTGTTCCACGGGCAATAAGAGCTCGTCCGTGTTGGATGTAGGCTCTGTGAGTTACCACAATTTGCCTTCATAATCTAGGATAAGTTTTTTTTTTACAAAATTAGAGGTCACTGTAAAACATATGGCGAGTCTATTGTTATTATTCTACGTTACCATTTACTTGAAATTATCGTAGTCTATACACTGGAAACATCGCCACATGCTAAAACGTTTGCTCACTGTATGTGACACTTGACATAACTTGCACGTTCTTTGCCGATTCTGTGTTCCATTCACACCAATGTGAAAAATTTGTCTAGAGTCGTAATTCCAAACAAACCAACTACCCGTGTTTGAAATTTGTTAACACCTTACTTAGTGTCCTTATAAAACCCAGCTGCAGCTTTCAAGTAATTGTTTGCGCCTTTTTTGGGGTTAGCGCTAAATTTTGCTATTTTAAAACACGGATTCTGTGTCCGTGGGAACGACAAACCTAAACCAGGTCCCATAATAAAGCTTTACAATCGAATTTAAATGAGATTTCCATCGAAGTATATTCTCTTAGAACTTCTAATGCCCTGCCGAGCCTGAGACGTCAAACGACTAGGGCTAACAGCCCTGTTGTGCTATGGTTAATTAACTGCCTACCAGGGATTAGTGCATGTGCTACCTAAACCGTAAACAAAGGGAAGCCCAAACGCTTTGTCTAAAAGTGTATCAGTCCGAGGTACAGCCACGTTTCTTATTTAATTTTAGTATAATCCTACTGAAAAAAGAGACCAAAAGTAATTAATTCGGTGAATTTAGAGGCCTTTTGAATCTTAAACATTGGGATGTTGACATATGCGAGTCTACTAATGCAAGAGGCCACGTTTTAGTTTTCTTCACATTTGAGAGGTGATAAGAAAATCAGTGATATCCGAAGAAATGGTATGAGTTTGGACCACTTGCACTTAAACTCAATCAGATAAACCCTCTCAAAGGTAGGTTTATTCTTACTCAGTGAATTCATACTTCATTTAAGTGAGGCGTTCATCATCATGTAAAAAGCGTTTAGTATAACAAGTACTGCTGGATATATGCGCAAAGTTTACTTGTGAAAGCTGCTACCATTTAGAATTCCAGGTATCTTAAGGAAGCTTTGAAAAGTAATGCTGTTTAGAAATGTTTGGCTGACCCAAAGGTAGAAAAGGACATGGGCACGCTCATTTAGCATTAGATGTTAAGTGTTTCTGATGCACTGTGGCCAATAACGTATGGTCGGGTTTAAATTAAGAGATTTCAGCAGAAAAATACAACAAGCCAGCGAAGTTGATGCTATAGATTTAAAGTATTTGACCAGTAAGACATTGTTTTCTTCTATTTCATTTATAGATTCCCGCAATTTTGCCTCAGCCCAAGTCCATGGTGCAAACATTAGGCCTTAGTCAGTCTGCCGAACGCTTCACACTTTGTCATCGTTAGGCAGCTCAAGACCAGGTTTCTCTCTGGTGGAGATTTCCCGTTCGGCATGTTGGCTTTCTCCTGACTTGTGAGATGCTCCAGGGAAGACATTTCGGTGTGAGCAAGGAATGGCTGGGCTGGTAAATTTTGGACATCAGATTGAACCATCAAAGGCTTCTCATTAGTTTGCAAATAAACTTTTTTGCAGAAACTGATTTGCAGGAGTTAACAAAGCTGCAACAGATTAATAGGAATCTCGACCATTTCAAAAACTAAAAGCATTTCGAACACGTTTCAGAATTTGCAAGTTGGTCAGCTTTGATTTTTAAATCCGCCTAATTATTATACACTTGGAGTAGCCCCACGTTCTTTGAGACACGATTTCCAGTTTAAGTATACTTCCTAACTAGTTTTTTGCCAATTTTGCACTTTTATGCTCGCATTTTGCTTAATATGTGAACAAAACTAAAGCTGTTTTGGTAAACCTGGAGCCTTAATATGGTTTTTAGGCATTTCTTTCTGCAACTACGCCTACATTCGTGTTTTTTTTACACCAACATGAAAAGACATGCTGGAAAGAATAGAGTGAGGCAAATATACATCCAGTTGAGACTATTTCTAGATTCATCAAAAAGTGGTAGACCCAATACTGCGGTGATAGATCATGACGCCATTTGTTACATTCTGACTTGCAGTTTAAAACCCCCGGATGTAATACGTTGCCCTATGTGTAGGATAAGTTTTTAAACACACAGGGTAGACTGCATTGCATTTCTTTATTTCGATAGAAAAAAAAGATTTTACGAATGGAATTTGCCTTTATGTTGAATGCAATTTTATGCCATATTCATTTATCTGACCCCATTAACAGCTTTTAATATATATTATTTAGTGAGATAACAGCGTTTTGATCGTATTTTCGATCAGGCACTATCATTCTCACTTTGTTATTAAATTGCATATTATGTCTTCGTCATAGAAATGTGCGCTCTTAATTAAGAAAAGGCATGAAGCCTCGAAAAATGACCAACTTTCAAAATTTATTCCATGTATGCTGACCACTTTAGAAACAGTAAATCTGATGCTTAAATTGCATTCACCACCCAGGACGCATTTAATAATCACTCTTTAGAAGTCTTCAGAATCAGGTAACATAAAATAAATACAATTAAGTAATTTTAATCACAGATTTATTAGTGGAATACGCACTTCACCCAAAGTTGATTTCCTTGTGTGCTTTGAAATTTTTGTTAGTAATTATTAATTCCTGTAGTTAACACGAAAAATGGCTCTGATTTGTTCTAGCATTGACAAGTGCATCTACTTAAATAGACGTTCCAATGATGCAGGTATCTTAAAGGTTGGCATTAAACTTGAATTTTCGGCCAAAAGTTAATGTTTGCCAACTAACCGTCAGGCTTAATATTTGCATAGTGCATTAATAAAATGTTTTCTTACTCTTGTGCAGCAGACTTTGTGCCTATATGCCCGTACCTTCTTAGCTGAATCTAGCTCTAATAGAACGAAGGCATTCAATCGATACCGCACGTCAACTACAATTTGCTAATGAATATCCCTGTCAGAGAATGCAGTATGTACTTATCAAGCCGCTATTCTTAGAACAGGAAAAATATTAACAGGCATAACTAAACACATGCACATTAAGTGAGCTGTATTGCTTACAATGCTCCTTGGATATTTCTTTGAAAAAAAGATGAATTACCCAATAAAAAAGTAGCCCTGACAGGCCAGAGCGTCATCCGTGCGATTCTTCACAGGTAGTTTTATGAGTAACTGTTTACCTGTTGCTCTCACTTTATGGATTAAGGTAAAGTATTGAATCATAGCTTGATCGGAACTTGGGACGGTAGAAAACCAGGCGATTTTATTTTGGTACACCTTTTTCACATGAAGCAGAGCCAATGACAACCGCATCAATGCAGACAAATGAGTTGATGACGTAATTTGACGAGTTATCACTTTTTTAAATAATTGATTAAACAAAAATTATTAAATCAAATGGCCTTTAAGAAAGATACATTACATTAAGTTATAAAATGATATGTAAATAGGTTCCTCTTTAGCCCTTATTACCATCTTCTGTCGCTGACTCCAAAATCTGGACGAATTCTGAAATAGAAATTTCTACCATAAAGTTTTAGGGTTATGCTGTATTGACATGCTAGAAATTTTAATTTTGGTTCTACATCCAAGTGAGCTGCATCTATGCCAAGGTTTTGACATCAATCATTCGCGCGTCGATACACTGAGTGCACTATGGGTTTCGAGGGAAAACTCAAATTGATATCCATTAGGTCAGTCTAGAGCAATAATTCCGACAGTCTTGAGGTTAAATTTTTTTATTCGATCTTACCAAACTCATCAAAGATATGGTAAACTAATAAATAGGGCCACAGGAAAATAGTTCACTACGATTCGATTAGAACAGCTTTTTGACTACTTAGGAGACCGAATGAATTAAAAAAACGAGACATTTTTACTGCTTACCGCTATAGTCGACAACACCGTCGCCATTTTTATCAGCTTCAAGAATCATTTCCATTATTTCATAATCTTCCAGCTGTGTTCCAATCTTCATCATTAACTCTTTCAGGTCTTTCCAATCAATGACTCCATCTCCATTTACGTCGAACTTCTAAAATGTGATTAAGGTTGTCGACTAAACCACATTGCTTATTACTTTTTTACACACACAACATTTATCAAAATGTTTCAGGTTTGTTGTCAATACGTTTTGTGTGAATTTACCAAATGTGGTCTAACTAAGCCGTTTCTCGCGTCAAAGATTATATCGCCTTTACCATAGGTTTGCGCTGACACAAGAGACTCCTGGGCGTGATGTGCCTATTTTCTTCACTTCCGGCAACTCTATCAGCCACGGCATCTAGATGGCAAATTTATTACTCTGATTGTTTGATTTCGAAAAAAAATACAGATGCTCACAATTATTGCAAAAATTCTTTCCTAATTTTGCACATGAATAAAAATGTCATCTGCGAATATATTACGATGACATTAAGGTCAACGACGATATCGATGCAACGTTCGTATTCAATGGATTAAACATATGCTCTAGAGGGGGGACTTAGGAAGTTACGAAAAAAACGCACTCCGTTCCAGCTTACTAAGAAAACAGGCATTTCGGTTTGCCTGAATTTTCCTAACCGTGCCTACGCCGTATCCAGACAAGATTTCTTCGCATCTGCATTCTTAATCCCTTGATTCCATTAGCTGAGCTTATGCCTCTTCTTCTCCATCACTAACCTCTTCTTAAGCCTCATTTACAAAATCGACGTTAATTAAGCACCCCATGTGGCCTGCCGAAGTGTGTCTCAAGAGAGTTTGGTTCCACAAATGGAAAATATTATTCATGGCTGTAAATTTTTCGCTTTGTGTTATGATCATCTTCTGAAGACCTTTGGTGAGTGTTGCCTTCGACTTACCTTAGAGACAAATAAGGCGTGATTTTGTTTGCAGCAACCTGTCTAGGATTAATTCAAAAAAAGTGCAAAGACCAACTTTTTCGGCAAATTCTGCTTTGTCATTTCCGTAAAGGCCAATACAGTACAAAGGCTCACTAAATAAACAATCCCATTGTCTGTTCGTAAAACTTTTGTCTGCGCCAGTGGTCTCATTAATGCCTCAGAAGGTTCACAAATGTCTCTAGTAGTGTCTAGCCGCCAAGGTACCAGTGCGACCTTCACAAACAATGCTTGCACTCAAGAGAAATCTTCGTGGACCTTAATTACCTGCCTTTTGTTTACGGCGTGGCGAATTGAGAATGGGGAAATGAGATTATTGATGGGGCCTTCCTCAATCAGATCGCATTTTAACTATGATGGACATATTTAAGTAATTAAGCTCATTAGGCTTTCCCTAAATCAGCAGAAACATTATTAAGCACAGGCATTTAAATAACCTTTTGTTCTGTTTGTAGAGATTTATAAATGCATTATTGAATTTCCTCGAAATAAAAATTTTGCCCAGTTTGTCAACAAAACCTCTTTGGCCAGTTGGTACAAATAAGTATCTAACATTTGTTCATATTTTCAAGTGATACGCAGATATTTTGTTCGTCTGAAATGACAACTAACTCAATGAAAGTTCAACCGGATATTTGAAAGGGATCCATGCATTTTAGTTAGGAAAGCTATTCGTTTGCTAGTAAAATAACGTGAATAATTCGAGGTTTAACTTCAAACGAGAGTGAACTGTGTTTAAAACCCTTAAACTGTATATACTACTAACATTCGCCACTGCGTAAAGTGCTTTTTATCGAAAGTGGTTGGTAATGATCCATAAATGTACGGAAAAGGTAGACCTACATTGTAAACTTTAGTCAACATGGTCGTCGTCCAGCATAACCAGTAGTTTTAATGTACATTTTTGGCTCTGGGCTTTTATAGAACGTAGAGATTAACGTTTATGCCATTAAACACCGCGTAATAAGTTTAATCAGAGTGAAGTATCTTTACTTACTGCACCATAGACAAGAGGGAGAAAGGGTTCTTAGTAATTGCCTTTTTATACAGATGCTTTAATTTATCACTAAAGCTGATCAGAAGAGAAGAAAAAAACATACAGAAAACGCCTCCCTGTACATGTCAGTGCGAGACGACAGGGACCCGAGGGGCTGATGCTGTTGTTGAAATGACATGGCCATGAGAGACACAAACTCCCTGTAGTCAATTGAACCGTCACCTTAAAAAGGCGAAATAAATTCATTTTATGGCTAAATGTAAGAGTGTAGGGTGTTTTCTTTACAATAAGCGCTTTCCGACTCTAGCGATGCATATGTGTCTAAAACGTTCCTAATTACTTTCTACTAAGACTACCCAAAGATCTTTACAAGTTGGAAAAATGTTCAGTCAACATGAACACATTTCAAAGACATGCCTCGATTTTTAACATGATTACAAATTCAAACATGGCAGTACCGCTATGTTAGAATGCAGTGAGATCATTAAAAACTTTTTTGGAAACCTTAGCTTGCGGTTGTTATAATGCGTAGTTTAATTGGTGGAATGGCCATATAGTTTAGGAGTGCTAGACGCTTTTTCATTAGTTTGGTACCTACTGACTTGGTTACTTTTCTCGATTTATCATGGTACTTTCTTGGGACTGTTAACCAATTGGGAGCCTAAATCTAATGCGAAAGACCAACAAATTACCCGGTGAGTGATTGACGCTAGTCCTACTCACAACAGGACCATAATACAGTTTAGGTACTTTGCCAAGCATAACGAAAAATGGCTAGGCGAGTCATTGAGAAGCATCAACGGCGAGGCAGAAGTAGATGAAGACACATTAGATACAATTACTCATTTTCCTGTTACTTTTTTCACATGGACACTATTAGATATCGTTTGAAGGTATTATTTACGCTGAAGCCTTGCTCGTTTCCGCACATAGCTTAAACCGAGTATCTAGTTGAAAGAACAGAATTATTTATTACGAGACTGTTTGAAAACTTCAAGTCTGTTAAGGTAACTTCATCAATGTTTTGCCAACCTTGTTGTCACTTTGGTAGTTAAAGTGTGAAGATACCTGGCGTTGCTCTTCAAAATTTTAAATTTCAACAGCGGAAAAGGTAATACACATGGGTTTATCATAGACGCATTAATGTTTGTAACACAAAACCAGTTATTTATCAAAATGTTCCGCTTTAAGTGTGACATGAGAAGCATAATCACAAGAATACAAGTGGCATTTGACCCACATCTTCCTCAAAACGAAATAGGATTGCTATTTACCCCTGATAACATCCCACGAACCCTGGAGTTGGCCGTAGATTTTGCGCGGTTTCGGTAATATGCGTGTCTCCAGTGACCCCGTATCTCCTCTTTGCTCCAAAGTTATGATCTTTTCGCTAATGTGCATTTAAACATTTTGTCTAAACATTGGAGGGCTTTTTGTATATTAGCCGCCACGACTAGACATCTCGTGCGTTGAAAATGCCACATTTTTTTCCAAACCTAACTTGCGATGCACGAATGTTTACTGTCAAGATGCCTGAAATGAAACTTGACAGCTCTCTTAACGTGTTTGTGATTCAGCAGAGAATGATTATGTCAAAGACACATGAAACTCAGAACAGTTGGCTTCTTAACACCAACAAACAAGCTTGTAGTACAGTCACATGCTTCATTTGTTGCAAATTTAAGCAAATCACTAACGTTAAATTGGCACTTTTGCCCTTTACGTCATATAACGCTAAATAACGGTTGAGTCCAGGCAATGTTTTGGATAAGGCCAGACAACTGAGTATTTGGAGCATCATGAAAGCATGTGATTAAATTTTTTTGGTAATAGCTTAATGAACACCACGTGCCCCAGTTAAGCGCGAAACGCCTTGTTAGGATGCCTTTCAAAAATTGGGCGGTGGAATTGTTGCCCAAAACAAGTAGTAATTTGATGGCGAGGTAGTTTTACAATTGTGTGTTTTGCCAACTTTGCTGCTCATAATTGCTACACACAATGATTGACTCCGCAACGCTGGTAATGCCCAAAGACGCACAGCTTAGCCAGGGAGTCAGGCGGGCGGGAGTGCTGGCCTGAATTCATTAGGGTGACTTAAAAGAAGAGTACGAAAATATTGAAAGACAACCGTCCGTAAAAGATCAAAGCGCACAGCTAAATGCAAGCACTACAACAGGTTTTTATGTCCTCTTATAAAGAAAAATGAGCTTTCAAGTCCCTCAAAGTCGCCAATAACAAACCTCAAAGTGTGGTTCTAGGTGTGGCTCTGACTTTCGCTACCACCTACTTTCTTACTTGGAACGAGCAGCTTATTGCCAAATGATTGAGGTGTCAAGCATTTCTGAAGAATATTGCAATAAACCTGCGTAAATTAAATGGATTTCGAGACCATCATTTATCGGTAAACCAGTGTGGAGGAATTATTTGCCCACTAGTTTAAAACATAAGGTAAATGTTTTATTTAGTGACTGACCTCTGTCTTGTGAGCCTTGTCTATCACTCGTTAGTGAAGGTTTTAGTGGTGACTAGGGTTCTTCGTTGCTGTATTCACTTTGAAATGTTGTAAATTAAAATACTAAGATGTCTTGCGTTATAACTTTAATGTCATGACCCACAAGTAAGGACACATCTGCAAATCTCTGTTAATTTTACACAATATGGCACATCTCCCATGTTTCCTTTTAAGCAAAACTTTGCTTGAGTTAATTACTGCCAAATTTTCTTTAAAAGATGTGCCACCATTTTGAAGCATGAGCTTGCAATGTTGGGCACAGGAAATGTGGTCACGGTGTGATAATCGAAACAGAAGCCGCACTTCTCTCAGGCGTGCCTGGAAAGTGCTTTCTTACCGTTTGCGTCGGCTTCCTGGAAGAGACTCTCAGTAAGTTTTCTGTCGTGAGTGTAGCCGAGTGCTGCGAAGGCAACTTCCAACTCTTCAAGCGATATTGCTCCGTCACCGTCTTTATCAAAAAACTTGAAACTTTTGCGAATTTCTAAATAAAGGGGTGAATATAAATTAATGTAAGATTTCCATCACATGCAGAATGGTTTTAAAACGCTTACTTACAAGTCCTTACTAATTCTCAAAAGTAAATTACCTCTTCTTTCTTCCTACAAGGCGATATCTGCTACCTTACCTTTTGCAACAGGTCATGTAAGTGAATGAGAGAGTTTGTTTGCGAGGACTTAAAAGTTGTTGGTAAGCCGTAAAAGTACTTTTTAGTGTTGGAAACCAAGGTCGTATACAAATGGGGAAGTCACTTCGGTTTCAGGGCTCACCTTGCTGATTACTTTTGAAAGCAGTGCGTTCAACACAAATCAAAAACAATCAGACAGAGGACTTCTAAAAAAACTTACTTGCAATTATAAAACGAGACTAAAAATAAGATCTTTAGTGCTTCCATGAGTGTTGGCGAACCCACAATTTTTATTACAGCGTGGTCGACTAGTGGGGCTGTAACGGTTAAGCAGACGTTGACGGCTCAAGTGAGTAACATTTAATTACACCAGAACTAAATCCATATTTACGTTTAAATGACATTTATTTGTGACAATAACTAACAGAGCAATGAATGGAATAAAATATATGCAATAAATACTAGTAACGTTTTCATGTTGGATGAATATTTCAATTCAAATTTCTTATTCAATTGTTAAACCATTAGAGGCACCACTTTGAGAAATTGTTGCGATAATTTAAACTCCACCTACATTATTTGCTGTTAAATTTACACATAAAAGCTCCACTTTATTTTTTGTTTGCAGATTTTAAGTTTTAAATCTAGGCAAATTACTGAATATACACAAGACGATAACACTCAGGCATGAATTCGTGTTGAAGAATGATTTAGAATCTAGATTATTGTATCCTGAATCTTAATTCAATGAATAATTATTTAGCATAAGGCGATTCTAAGAAACCAAACATCCTTTTTGCATTCTGTGTTTATTTACTCTGTCTATAATTTCAATTTCGATGCATTCTTTGCTTACTACCGGCAACAGCAATACCGACACTAAGCCGCAAATATAATCCTTAAACAAAGTGTAGAACAAAATTGGGCTTTCGTCTCACCAGACAATTGGTCCAATGTCAGTTTATTAGAGTCAACTAATTGCAACTCTAGTTGTTCACCGGCTTCCCTTGCATCCACCTCCGTTTGGCCATATCCCGCTGCCCTGGATGAGGTGTGTTCGAGAATCCTGTCACTTGTATTCACGGAGGAGCGCAGACGCGATGACAAACTAGCTATATTCAGTGGAACATTCTGGTTGCTTCTCTTCATCCGTCTTTCGAGTCTATCTGTGTGGACAGACGCCATGCGGCTGGTTCCCTGCGGCGCGAAGACGACGCAAGCCCACGGCTGCTCTGGATTATGCCTATCGCAGTCTTGTCGCGTGCATAAACAAGCGCTGGGAGTAACTAGGACGCTCTCTCTTCTAAGTGGCTAATGCACTGGTGGTGAGCTCACAAACCTCCTTGGAAAAGCTGGCTTTTGCTGATTGTCTCATTTATTCCACATCTCTATTAGCTCTTTAAGGCAAATTTATTATCAAAAATTAACTTCTAGCAAAGGGAATAAGTTCAGATATTCTAAACGAAGGCTCACATTTATACCGTAGATACACCGGAGCGTTCTTTTTATTTAATTTTAACTTTTCAATCTAACTGTCGCCATTAAAATTGCTGCTACTACTTGCTGGCCCCATACTTAACGTTCGTCTTTTTAAAAAAAACTTTAAAGTGTTCACCAAGTCTTTTGTTAAAATAATGATGGGATCACAAGACCTTAAATATTGACACTTTAAGATCGTAGATCCTTCATAAAGGCAACAATAACAAAGCGGCCTCTTTATGTGATAAAATTCTTACGTGAGCATAAAAATAAGCTGAAATGTAGTTGCTGGTATTACCGTGGTATTGCCGTAATTAGTAATTCAATCAATTTAACTTTGATTTTCCTCAATATCCTTATATAAACAATCAAGGGAAGACCTACATCATCTCTACTTGATTGGAAAGAATTTCGAAATACAAAATTTGCACCGTTGCTTCAGTAGATCCCCCCCTCCCCGACTAAACACTACCCGGGGAAAATTTGGTTGAGGCCAGTGAATGGTACTGAATATTCGAAACATTTTGAGCAAATAGAGGACGTTGTAGTGCTGTAAATACCTGCGTTTCGCTTGAATGTTGGTATTGTTAAAGGCTTCGGCTTTTGGTCTCGAATCACACCCAGATCCCACTAAGTTGATACTCAGAGGGACTGAGAAAACCGGCCAGCAGGTGGTTTAACTCAGTTGTGTGTGTTACGCCACAACACAGCCTGTGGGAGCTAATGCAAGTACACACGAATGAAGGGCTGGATGAACAGCACATGTGTGGATAATCAGGCAGCTCCACGTGATCGATGGGGACGCTGTGAAAAGGGAGACAGCGAGTGTGGGTATGAGACGACCGGGTTAATGCATGACAAGACTTTGACCTTTTAAGCAGTTAACCCTTAGAATGGCTTTTGGATCACCGCATTCGACGACTGGGCTATTAGACGTTAATCCATATGCTTCATTGCACTATCATGAATATCAATCAGGTATACGAATCAGTCCGCTAAAACACATCCCTCAGATGTCCTTCAAAGATTCCTTAAATATTCCTTGCTGGCCAAGGATGAACAGTAAGTAAATTGTTTTTTTTTATATTGTATTACACAGCAGATCAGGCCAGTTTAGAGGCCAAATAAATAGGCTGTCTATCGGCTTTAGCCTTCAGGCTGTTCATGGGCCACTACAATTTGGGAAGCAATGTCCTACGCAAATTTCGCACAGGAAACTTACTCGAACGGAAAAATACCATCCCCAGTCAGAAGTCAGGCCCTACATATGACGGTTGACACTATCGAGGGTAAGTAAACTGTCAGAACTGACCGACCGATATTGGCCTGTTCTTTACTGTGCCTTAGCTAAAAGAATGTACGCTAGATATTAATCAATTTTTACAGCTACAATTCAAAACAAACTTCCAGTGAAAAACATAAATGTGTTCCCAAGGACTGCTTAAAGGAAATGTTGCATTTCAGGTTTTCTTCTACATCACTGCGGTCAGGAATGCTTCTTTATCATTCCTATATTATTTACGGTTTCGACTTCTCCATAATTTTCTGTCATGTCTAAAACTATTATCCTCTGAGCGAGCTATCAACAGAGGTCCGGTTCCAAAATATGTGTTTTAAAAATCTGTTATTCCCCTGTCCCCGTGTTAGCTACTGCAGAAGTGGTTCATTAAGTTGCTTTCATAAACAGTTTGGACTAGCTTTAACAAACTGCACTACCAAACAATTGAACGCAACTTATTCGTCAAAGTTATTAAACGGTCGAAGGTGTGATTGTATTACGTACACAAACAAGGCCAAATTACTCACATGTCTTTGGATTACATTGCAATCTCAAACTTTCATTGTACTTTAAAATATCACTTACTAGAAACACACATTAAATAGCCATTTACTTGATCAGAGTTCCATTGTGGGCAGAGTGACGGGTTGTGCTTTATCATTACTTACTCTTTATCTAAAGTACACAATAAACTGACAAAACAATTTAACAGCGTCTTCCACTGGCAACCGCAAAGCTCATAGACACATTTGCCAGACATGAAATATCAATGGTGCTTTTCTGATTACCTACTTGGAGAGAGCCTTCTGCAGACTTGCTTTACCAACGAGTCCAGATAACACAAAATTTATCCGAGGCAATGATCTAATATTTTGTCAGAATCCTCAGTGTACGTCTTACACGTATTGAAAACTTAGCGAAACCGTTTTATAATACGGATCTCTGAAAGTCAGCCTTGCTAGACTACCACGACGCGCTACTACAAAAGCCATGAGTAATGCGCATCGATAGTACCACAACAGTCTTTAAGTAGTACCAAGTTGGCAAGCAGGAAAATTAACAACGCTTGCTCGTTACTTTAATCTAATGTAAAGGAAGGAAACGCCTGCCTACATTTCTTTTGTAACTCGGCCACGTGGTGCATCTGCATCAATAGCCTTAGTGGCACAGGAATCGTGCAGAAAATATCCTTTCTAAACACCACACACGCACACACGTACCTTAATAAGCACACTTTTACTGAGCACGCAGAACGTTTATTTGATATGACTTGTTGACATTAAAGTAGTTAAATGAGTTTAAAGGTGAGTGTTAAACCAGCATAGATGTGTATAGAGACGTTGTCTCGGATTGAGCTTCTGCTCTCAGAACAGTTACAAAAATTTTGGGTCGATATCAGAGTGGTCACACCAATAGAAATGCTGAATCCGCTGACCTTCCGTTATTGATAATCTACGCATTTACACACGGTAAACCGTAATGTCGACATCTAAGCTCGTTGCCGTCATTTAAATTAACTTGAAAATACCTCAGAAATAAGTAGGTGGATCTACTTGTTTAGACAAAAAGGAACAAACTGAACCGTGTTTTCACAGCCACTTTCCTTTCGCACGTCAGCAAACCGATTCCTTCTTGAGTCGAGGCGTAACTAATAATGAAAAACGGTTTGGGCGCGATCGTTACACAACACGTCTTTCAGTAGACATTGCAAATACTGATCTGATCTGAAAAAACTCCTTAGTACCCGCTGTGTGCTTGCAGCCCAGCGTCTTCAGATATCTATCTTATTAGTTATCTGCGAAATATTTAAAAAAAGAACAATGGAAATATGCTTTCTTTTAGTTTTGTTTCAAGTCTGGCACAAACTGTTGCAGTTATGAAATAAGTATTTCATATACGCTGGGTAGTTGATGGCTCGAGGGTCATAAAATAGGTACTAGAATTTTAAGTATATGCTCTCCACTAAAGTCGCCTTGTCAATCAGACTGGATTTTTTAGTAATATCAGGTTATACATGTTTTGTGTATTAAGAAATTACGGAAAACAATAAATGTTGGAAATTTTAGCAGGTTTATAGATTCTTTGAATGCAAATGCTGGTAGATGTTGTCCGAAGTCCCGTCAATGATACTCTAGAACCATTTCAATGTAAAAGGAGTTAAATAAATACGAATGGTCAAGAAAATATTGATCTCTACTTATGGATTACTAAATTTTGAAAGTAGTATTTTGTGCAAACTGGATTATATGTTCTGCGGACATCCATGGCCCCGGATACATTAAAATTGGCGCATTAAACATCTCTCAGCTTAGGTGTTGGAAAATCAGTTTTGCGTACTCGTTTTTAAGGCTTCTTAAAATGATCCTCTTCGGATTTAGCGGGGACCTAGGGTGCATTCCACTTACTTCCTGCCCTCCATTTCACACTGGCTGCTTCAGTGTTACTAATTTACCGACAATATAACCATGCACCTTTTTAAAACGTTCTTATTGAGGAAGAAGTCACGTGGGGATGATAATGACGAATAAGAACATCAACATATTTGATTCAATGATTGTCGTTCCTTCGTCTTTGTATGTTTCTTTGCAGCTTTAACACTCACCTTGAAAGTTTTTTAGCTCATTTAACCTCCACTCGACACACAAGTTATGCCAACTGAGCGCTCCACAAAGGTCGCGTTTGCTCAGGACGCACTGCCGGATAAGTGTTGGCTTATTAAAATAACATTAAGATTTGCAAATGTACGTGCTTCTAGCGCCAATGAAAATCAAGCCTGAACTTTTGTAATTCCGTAATTAAATTTCTTTGTTCGCGAAGGGGGTCGGGGCAATTATGAGTGCGGGCGACCAATCAGCCGTGTAACTGCTCGACTACTACAGCTCTCAAGGCGGTTCATATCAAGCCCGTGTAGAGCAAAGTTTTGTATCATTAGAGATACATTTAAGTTACCCTTGATAAATTGTTGGCCCGTGGTTATTTCGGTTCGTTCTTGATTGATTCTGTGGACTTAAACGCATCTGGATCCAGTTTGCAGCAGCAGAGTTCACGAAGATAATCCAGGAGCGTTTCGAGGTAAGTGATTTTTCAATTAAATTTACCAAAGTGCATATTGTTGCTTCTACGCAGAACAGTTCTTTAGGAAATCAACGCCGAAACATAAAAACAACCATTGGTATTTGAGGTGAAAGGTCAGCTGCCTTGATTGCTAATGACTCTTGTAAATAGCCACGTCAGTGTCGTCAGTATTGGTTAGACAACGGCGTTCGTACTTTGCGAAAAGTACCGCCTTTCTAAATATACTTACCGATTACTGGCCAACCTTATGTCCGTGTTCAGTTAACACATTCGTAAATATCGGGTAATAAAGTAATTCCTATTGGCTTTGTGGCAATAAGATTTTTGACGCCTTAGATCTTGGGAAGTTCTG